ATCGCACGGTGGCGGTCAGCCAGCGCTGGTGACAGGCGGCAGCAAAGGCGGCGAGGCGGCACGGTTTCTGGCGGAGGAAGCGGTGGGGAGGATGGGGCTCAGCAAACAGGTCAGGAAAGTTGAGGCGCAGCGGGGCGTAAAGGGGGCAGGTGAGCAGCATGTGGGGGGCATCTTCAATGCCGTCGTGGCAGTGGGGGCAGACTCGCTGCTCTCGGGGGCGCCGCGTCCAGCGGCCGGTCTCTTCCGCGCCCCAATGCGACCCGGTGCGCAGCTGCGCCAGCGCCTCGCGGTCCTGCCGACGCCGTACTGCATCCAGGTAGGTCTCGCGCTGCCCAAACATGGCGGGCGCCAGGTTGAGGGCGCCCACCACGTTGTGCACATAGTGCTCCAGCCGGCTGGCGCCGCCCTTCGCCAGCGCCTCCTGGAGCTGCGCCAGCTGGCGGCGCTGCGCAGCTTCCCCCAGCTCGCCGAGGTCAACAGGTGCTGGCTGCTGCAGGTCCAGCTGCATGCCGACCGCTGCGAGACCGGCCGCCAGCTGGGCAGCCCAGGACTGCTGTGCCAGGGGGTGGGCGCCATCTGCGAGCTGCACGCTGGACAATGGGCGACGCACGCGCCACCGACATGGGGCAGCGCCGCGGCGAGGTCAACATTGGGCAGCTGATGAGGGAGGAGTATGGGCGGGGCAAGGTCTTCAACATCGGGTGGGTGTGCAGTGCAGTGCAGTGCAGTGCTGTGCTGTGCTGTGCTGTGCTGTGCTGTGCTGTGCTGTGCTGTGCTGTGCTGCGCTGTTTGCAGCGAGGGTCCGTGAGCACCACACCGGGTTCTCTGCTCGAGGACCTTTCCAGGCAGATGAGCGCCTGGCAGGCACCTGCTGCTGCCGACCCTGCTGCAGGTTCACCACCCACACCGGCACCGTGGCGGCGGCGGACGACTGGGACACGCCTGTCCAGCTCAAGGACGTGCGCAAGAGCATGCCGGGCAGCTGGGAGCACCTGTTCCACAAGGCAGCCATGCCCGAGTTTGCCCTAGACCTGCGCAGCGGCAGCCAGGACCTGCGCGCCGCGCTGGAAGGTGGGTAAAGCGTCCAAGGACTTGCCCTCTACCCTCTACCCTCCCAGCCATTCTTTCTCCTGCACCTGGCCTGGCCTCCTCCTCCCTCACCCATCCCTGCCAGCCACCCGCAGGCCCACTGCTGGAGCGCGCCATTGGCGTCATCTACCGCCCCAGGACCGAGCGCCAGTCGCACTACTTCTACGCCTCCCTGTCGAACCAGTTTGATGCTGTCATCCACCTGGACGAAACTTCGGGTGCGCAGGCCTCCTTCGACCTGCTGGGCGCAAGGCTGGGGCGCATGGTGCATCGTGGGAGCCGCCCTGTGCAGCCCGGGGGCGGGTGGTTCATTGCGGGGCCTGCCAACAGCAGCAACACACCCGACCCTGGCCCCGGGCTGCAGCACTGACCCCGCTGGAGAAGGCGGGTGCATGGGCGCGGGACTGGAGGGCGCGGGAGGATGCCCCTGGCACGTGCCGCCGCCGTTGAACCACCGCACTCTCGCTGCTTTGCCTGTTGTCTTCAAACCACGCCCTACTACCAGCCTTTCCCTGATTATATGAATGCACCCCTCTCATATGTTCCTGCAGAGACTTACCCATTCGCGGTGTAGAGCAACGCGCGCTATGATCAAGTCCCCTGTTGCTTAGCGCGCCGAGGCGAATCTTGAGCTTGCCTTGCCCAGCTGACCAGCCTACAGCTTGCTCGGTAGTGATCCACTTGACTTGTATGTTATGTATGCTTGCCACAGCCTGCTCACGCTGCTTGCAAGTGCTGTTACAAGGGAACAAACCAGCTGGAAAGGCAGAGCAGCAGCAGTATACGAGAGGAGAGTATCCAGAGCACAACGGTTCCAGCCAGGGAAACATGCTGGCTGGCATAAACAGCTGGCATAAACAGCTGGCATAAACAATGGAATCATGCAATGGCTGCAATGCATGACGATGCACGGGTAAACTGTGCACTCTGCAGCAGCAGGGCGGAGCCGGATGGGCTGCTGGACAGCTCTGCTGCTGCCGGGAATGCATGTGTTGTTGGCAGGCGTGCGTTGTCAAGAGGGGAGAGCCACAAAGCCCGAGCGCCGGCACGCCTGGGGGCGACTGTACGGAAGATGAGCCGGCGGCAGCAGCAGCGAGCCATGGCAGGGCTGCTGAAGTGGCCGCCGCCAGCCGTGCCGCCGCCCTGCAGCCGCTGCTACTGCGGCGCCGGCTGCGGCGGCGCCGGCTGCAGCAGGCTGATCTCCTTGATGATCACGGCCTTCTCCTCCTTGAACTGCTCATCGTCTGCATCAGGGCAAGGCGGCACGGCAGCAGAGCAGTTGGCACCAGCACATCGAGACGGTCGGAGCTGGCTCCCTGCCCTCCACGACCCACCACACTCTGACAGCAATGCTGCAACATCACGTCGTGGCCCCGCCTTCCCACACAGCGCCCACCCACCTCTGTCGTTGTGGAAGTCGTCCAGGTACTTGAGCAGCTTGTCCTTGTTGTTGAACAGGATCTCGACCACGGGGCGCGTCTTGTTGGGGTTGGCCACAAACACCTGCAGGGCAGGGTGGCAGGGTGGTGGTGGCAGGTGCAAGGTGGCGCTGTGCCGCACACCAGGCCAGCGGGCGAGGCGGGCCTGCACCTTGAACACGTGGAAGGCCTCAAACTGGATGGAGCGGGAGGGGTCCTTGAGCAGGTTCATCATGAGGCACAGGTTGTCCACGTCGGCGACGTACTGCAGGGCAGTACCGCGGGCAGGGGCGCAGTTTAGTTCAGAGCAAGGAGATCGACAAGGTAGGCGCGTGCAAGAGCAAGAAGGCCTCAGGGCATCTTCTGCTCTCCTCCATAGCTGCCTGCCACAAGACCACAAGCCTCCCCCCCACACACACACACCACACACACACACGGCCACCAGCACCCCACCTGCATCATGATCTTCACGTTGCTGCGGTCCAGCAGCAGCTCCCCCAGCAGCTTCAGGCTCTGCCGCCGCGTCACGTAGTTGTCGCTGCGCAGCAGCTCGGTGTACAGCTTGAAGAACTGCGGCGGCAGGGGGCAGGGGGCGGCATGGGGTCAGCGCAGGCGGAAAGGCAGGCATGTGGTTGAGGCTGTCAAGGCAGGCAACGCGTGTGCTGCACGCATGCTACTTCTTGCTGCTGGCTAGAACCTCCTCGTCAAGCCTCCACAAAGAGCCCCAGCACATCAGGACCCCCATCGCGCCGCCCCACCTCTGCGTAGTTGTCTGCCAGGAAGTGCGCGATCAGCGCCTTGTTCCGCGTCAGCAGGTCCTTGAACGTCGCAAACACGTCTGCGGGCACAGCGCGGACGCAGGGAGGCGGGGCGGCAGGGTTGTTGTGCCAGCAGTCCACACGGCGGCCCGTTCACATGCAGCAGCCCGCCGCACACGCGGGCGGCGCGGGCCGCCTCCCCTCCTCTGCCCTGCCACTGCCGCCTCTCTCGCCGCAGCTGCCCGGGCGCGCACCCGAGGCCACCTCGAAGTTGGACATCTCCAGCTGCCCAAACATCTCTGTGAAGATGGTGGACTCGAGGACGAGGCGCGCCACCGCCTCGTGCCGTATGCAGTCGCGGAACATGGCCCCACAGTGCAGCGCTATCTCCGGGTCCTCGTACCTGCGCCCGGCAGCGGGTGTGGAGGAAAGGGTGGGGAGTGGACACGCAGCTTATGCAGCCAGGCAGCGGCATCGCTGCAGCCAGGCACAGTCGCGCAGCCCAGCCGGCGCCGGCGTGCGTGCGCCCCCCGCCCCGCCCACCCGTCAAACAGCGTGGCCAGTATGGCGTCGTGGTCCAGGATGTAGTTCATCCCCGGGAACTCGCCGCTGTGCTCGATGCGCACCAGCGCTCCAAAGATGGCCACCAGGTCCTTGCGGCTCTCAAACTCCAGCATGCCCAGGTATGAGACCATGTCGGTGAGCAGGCCCGTGCTCACCGCCTCGTACGCAATCAGCACCGCCGCCTCCTTGTTGCTGTGCGGCTGCCCCGCCTCCTCCTCGCCAAACATCGCCTCCTGCGGACGGCGGGCGGGGTGGGGCGGCAGGGGTGAGAGGGGCAGGCAACGGGACGGCGTGTCGCAGACCGACGCTCCCGCCACCGCCGCGCACGCCATCCCGCTGACCGGCTCCCGGCTCCTGGGGCCGATCCAAACGCGCTCCTGGCATTCGTCTACATTTCCCCACGTCCACACATCGCCAAAAACACATCGGTGCCCCCAGCGATCGCGCATCCCATCTCATGCCGTGCATACAGTTGGCCCATTTTTCGCCGGTTCAGCTCACCTTCATGCTGTGCAGCAGCTTCGCTATCTCATCCGCCACCCGCTCTGGGTTGGCCTCAAAGGGCAACCGCAAGAAGGCCTGGTGGGCCGCCTGGACCAGCTGCGCTGGGTCTTTCGTCCTAAGTCGGCCAAGGAGGCGACCAGCCATGGCTGTTTAGAGGGCGGGGGCCTGCGCCCCGCCTGCAAGCTTCACGCAGACACGCGCAGGGAGGACAGCACGCAGCTATTCAGCTCTGCCTGATGCCAAAGGGGGGATGCAGAGCGAGAGTTGCGACGGTGGAGCCGCCCTCGCGCATCAAAGCCCGTGCGCCGCCCAGCGGTACAGGCGGGTGCCGTCGTCGATTGTAGCCGCGCCGCTGGCTTACATTTGAAGGGGGCACGTGCAGTACAAGAGCGACATAGATGCAGGGTTCACGGTAAGAGAAAATAACAGGCGCAGGACCAGAGAAACTGACATCAAAACTCAGCAATGTAGTGCAAGCAGGGCGGGCAAACGGGTGTCGATCAACTGCGGGCATCACTTGTGAGCCTGACCGACAATGTACAGACATGGAGCATATTGGTACATGGAAATGCTGCTAGCTGAATCCACAGGGCAACTAGCCCCTGCTGTGAGGGGCCAAGCAACGCTAGGCCAGGAAGTATGGTACATCCTTCATTACATGCATGCCAGGTCCTTGCCTCATTTGGGGTCCAGCTTGTCCAGCTCCCGGTTGATGATGATGCGCATTACCTCGTTGGTCCCCTCCAGGATGCAGTGCACCCGCAGGTCCCGCATGTACCGCTCGATGGGATACTCTTTCAAGTACCCATACCCTCCCAGCAGCTGCAGCGCATCGTCGGTGACCCTGTAGCAGGCATCGGTGGCAAAGCGCTTGGCCATGGCGCACTCCATGGTGGCGGTGGGGGAGTGCGCATCCAGCGCTGCCGCCGCGTGCCGCACCATCAGGCGCGAGGCCTGCGACCGAGGGGCAGACTCATTGGACATGTGGCTGTGCATATGCATGCTGGGGAGCGGTCGGTTTCGAGGGGGCTCAGGCAGGTGCTGCCACAACCCTCAAATCCTCGCCACGAGGCTGTGTGTGGATCTGTGCTGTCGCCCTGCGACCCGCAGCTGCTGCTGGCTGGCTGACCTGGATTGACGTGGCCATGTCTGCCACCCTGAACTGCGTGGCCTGGAACTGCGAGATGGGCCCGCCAAAGGCCTGCCGCGCCTGCGTGTACTCGCGGGCCGTGTCCAGGCAAAACTGTGCGCCGCCAATGCTGCACAGCAGCAGAAGAAAACAAGCAGAGCAGGAGCAGAGACAGCGTCGAGTGGTGGTGGGGCGGGCAAGCAGGCACTGCCTGCCATGTCACAGACAAGCAGCGCGCCATTCAGCAGGTTGGCCCACCTGCAGGCGCCGATGTTGATGCGCCCGCCATCCAGCGCCTTCATGGCAAGCTTGAAGCCCTCCCCCTCCTGCAGGCAGCGGTGGACGCACTCAGCAGCAGCCGGCTCAGGCCCTGCCTTTGTTGGTGTGCCCGTGGCCTGCCGAGAGCGCCAATCCAGGCCATCCCTTCTGTGCTGCTCTCAAGCCATTGCTCCCCGGCCTGCTCCCCCACCTGCCCCACGCGGTTTTTGGACGGCACCCGAACGTCGTCGAACATGACGGCTGTCGTGGGCTGCGCATTCCATCCCAGCTTGGACTCGGGCTTGCCAAATGACAGGCCCTTGGTGCCCTACACACGGCAGGACGGCAGGAGAGGCACAGTCAGGTGCCGTGCCATGCACTGGTGTGGGTGGGAAGCCTGCGCCGCCACACGGCCCTGTTCCAAGCCCTTCAACACAAACGCCTGGCCCTCACCTTCTCAACGAGGAAGGCGGAGATGCCCTTGGGGCCAGGCTCTCCAGTGCGCGCCATGACAAGGTAGACATCGCTCACACCGCCGCCGCTACAGGGGACAGCAGCGAGCGAGCAGCTCACAAGTTTGTAGTAATCCCCCCCTCCTGCCCTTGGTTACCAGCTGCCTTGCACCCTCGCCAGCCCCCACCACACACACCCAGACCCTACTCCCACACTTCCCAGCACCAGCCAGGCACGCGTGTGCCAAGCAGACCTGATGAAGGCCTTGGCCCCGTTGAGGATGTAGTCCCCGCTGGCGCCCTCCCGCCTGGCGGTCATCTTGAGCGCCGAGGCGTCCGAGCCGGCGCTGGGCTCGGTGAGGCAGTAGGAGGCCAGCGCCTCCATGGACGTCAGCGCGGTTAGGTATGCGCCACGCTGGCGTGCGGTGCCGTAGCGATCGATGACTGCAGGCGGGGCAGGCGGAGTGGCAGGCGGCAGGCATGGCATGGCGATGGCGGAGGCTAGGGTGCCAGGGCAGATTTTGGCACCTAGCAGGCGGCGGCTGCCAAGCATGGTGTGTTCCCGGCGGTGTGCCGCCGCACCGTGGCAGACCATGTTGTGGATGGAGAGGTAGGCGGCGGTGGGCACGCAACCCCAGGACAGGGCCTCGAAAATGATGGCGGCGTCCAGCCGGCTCAGGGCCGCCCCTGCAGCGGGCAGCAACATCCCTGGGCACTCTGCCAGCTGCACATACGACCCTGGTAGGCCATGGCTTGTCGCCCCGCAGCTGACAAGAGCGGAGCTAGGCGCACCTCCCACATCCTCTCCCACATACAGGCCCCCAAATCCTGCAGCACACAGGAGCAGCATGCGACCGAATTGTGAGCTATAATGTTGGTTGGCAAGCACTGCTCCCAGCACCCCTGACGCACCCAGGTCGGCTGCTCGCTTGATGGTGTCTATGGGAAAGTGGTGCTTCGCATCCCAGTCAGCGCTGCACAACAGCGGGGGGCCAGCTGTAAGCCAGTGCGCGTCGGTCGGTTGAGAAGCGGTGCCACCGGGAGCAGCGGCACAGAGCACCGCTTTGTGACCTGCCTGTAGGGCGCCAGCTCCTCGCGAGCAAACGTTTCGGCCACGTGCTGGAACTGGCGCTGGTCCTCTGTGAGGTCAAAGTCCTCGTTGGCCGACAGCGGGTGCGAGTGCGAGTGCGCCGGCTCGGCCGCCGACGCCGCCGTCGCGCTCCAGTGCAGCCCCCTTGCCCCGACGCGCCTCAGAGCAGCACCTCCTGCTCTTGCTGCAGCCGCCGCCAGCATCCCTGGCTCGGCGAGGCGGGCTGTCGAGAGGGAAGCCTGAACAGAACAGGGCCTCAAACGTGACGCCCTTGCCTGGCCGTGCCGTCGATCACGGGGAACCGAGCACAGGTGTCGGATTCAATTTGATCGGAGACAAGCTCGACTTGCCTCTGGTGGGCAGCAGCAACGCAGCAGGAGAGGTCGCCCCGCCTTATCTGTTGCCCCAAAGCGCTGCCGAATGCATGCCAGCCTGCACTGAGCACGATGGGCGTTGCTGCGGCGCTCGACACAGCGGTTGCCAGACAGGCCTGCAGAAACGGAAACAGCAGGCGCACCGCGCAGCCCCTAGCGCCCCCCGGCAGCCGCGGCAGCTGTCAGCAGCGAGGCACGTCCCGCCGGGCAGCGGTGACGGCAGCAGCGGCGGGACGGGGCGGTGGCGCGGGCTCCAGCAGCGGCGCCGGCGGCGGCAAGGGCCCGTTTGACGGCCAGCGGCACGGCGGCGAGCGCGAGCGCAACCTGCTCAACGCCGTCAGCAGCAGCGACCGCGCGGGGTCGGAGTATGGGGAGGGCTTCTTCCAGTTCCGGCTGTCTGGCGAGCGCACGCACCTGGATGTGGACACGCTGAACGAGCAGATGCAGATCACGGGGCGGCAGCGCTTCCGCCACTCCATGCGCCCCGACGAGGCCTTTGGCCTCATCTTCAACTGGGATAACGTGGTGGCCGAAACGCGGGCGCTGCAGCGCCAGGCCTGGCAGCGCGTGGCGGAGGCGGAGGGGCTGCCCTTCCCCTCCCTGGAGCGGCCCCAGCTGTACGACGTGCGCCCCGAGCGCGCTGCCACCGACGTGCTGATGTGGACGCGCGACTGGGGGCGGGCGCAGGAGCTGGCCTGGCTGGTGGCCAGCGAGTACGGGCGCCTGCTGCTGGACCTGGCGCAGCCGCGCGACGGTGTGGCAGACTGGCTGCAGGTGGGGGCGGCGGTGCAGGCTGACGGGGGCCTGCTGCTGTGCCCACGGGCCTGGGCCGCTTGGAGCGCTGAGGTATTCAGCATGCGGGGGCTTGGCATGTGCTTGTGGCGTCCTTACCACTGGCCGCGCCCATGCCCGTGCCGCTCCCGTGCAGCTGATGAGCAAGACGCGTGTGCCGTGCGCCTTGGTCACCACCATGGACCGCCACACCACCGGCGAGCTGCTGGACAAGCTGGGGCTGCGCCACTACTTCACGTGCCTTGTCACAGGTGCGCCGTGGCATGCCGGGACGCTAGCCTTGCTGCGAGGCTGCCGGCCCTGTCCTGTGCTGGCATGGCTGCGAGCCAGCGGGGCAGCTTGGCACGTGGAGCTGCTACTACTTGGGTCCGGGCGGGGACCTGCGCTCAGCGCGGGCGCCGATCACTGCCGCCCCTCCGCCCCTGCCGCTGGCCTGCAGCTGATGACGACATGGAGACCATATCGCAGCGGTACCTGTCGGCAGCCATCAAGCTGGGGCGGCCGCCCAACCAGTGCGTCGTATTTGCCGCCTGCCCACCCATCCACCCCCGCCGCGCCGCACCTGTGATGGAGGTTGGGCAGGCGGCAAATACGACGCACTGGTTGGGCGGCCGCCCCAGCTTGATGGCTGCCGACAGGTACCGCTGCGATATGGTCTCCATGTCGTCATCAGCTGCAGGCCAGCGGCAGGGGCGGAGGGGCGGCAGTGATCGGCGCCCGCGCTGAGCGCAGGTCCCCGCCCGGACCCAAGTAGTAGCAGCTCCACGTGCCAAGCTGCCCCGCTGGCTCGCAGCCATGCCAGCACAGGACAGGGCCGGCAGCCTCGCAGCAAGGCTAGCGTCCCGGCATGCCACGGCGCACCTGTGACAAGGCACGTGAAGTAGTGGCGCAGCCCCAGCTTGTCCAG